AAACGGTACGTTTGTATCTCGGAAAATTTGAATTTGTGTTTTTAGGCGTTTACATTATGTTTCTCACAAAAACCGTCCGATTAATTTTTTTCCCATAATATTACAGGGATTTTTTAGGCCATTCAATTTTTGTTTTACACATTTTTATTTATATCCTCAACGCGATATTACATTATCGTAATAAATCACCGTGCGATTTCCTTGACCATAATATATACGCACACAATGTATTTTTCGTAATAATATTATGACGACTGGAGAACCTTTTTCTTCTTCTTTTGTTATCACCGTGCTCATAATATTATTATGTATTGTACAGTATTTGTGTGTGTGTGTGTGTGTGTGTGCGTACGTAAAATACATCTCACACCCCCCCCCTTCCCCCGTACAAGTTAAAAACGGCATTTCGCCTATGATTGTAACATAATATATTATATACGAGTGCGTATATATGTGTGCATAAATATTTATTTAAATATTATTACAATATAATATCGACAAAATCTCAAACGCTCGGCTAATATTTTCCCGCTGCGTATTTTCGCAACGGGATATTTACGACAGGAGTATAATAATAATAATAATAATAATAATAATAATAACAATAAATAAAAATAAAAATCCATCGCCATCACAAATATTATTATTTGTTTTCGTATTTTTTATTTTTCTCAGGTCCCGCGCGAACGTACAAATAAACGCGTGATATTCCTCGGCCGCCGCACGAACGGAGCCGGGTTTATCATTTTTTTTTTAAGACAACAAAAAATTGCCACCGTACATATTCGAACACGAATTCCAGTGATTTCCCGTACTCGTTTTTTAAAGAAAATTTGTACGCCATTATTTTTCCGGGACAATTTTATATTAGGTATACAAGGGATATGTAAAATGTACCTAAGAAATTATATATATATTTATATAAAAAAATAATGCCAACAGTTGACTTAAGCTCTTTTTCCTTGGAACCAAAGATGTTAGCATTTTGAATTAAAATAGTTGAATTGGTCCACAGATTTCCGTAAATTTTTTAAATAAATAATATAAAACGTCATCGCAACATTGTTATTCTCTTTGGCAGTGGCGTGTGCAGGGAGGTAGGTTATGAGTATTTATTTGGTAACTTAATATTAAAATTATTTATTGTAGCCACATTAGAAGGAAAAACTTGATTTATTACAACTAGAGTTGGCTTTTTCGGATCCGGCTTTTAAATTTTCATTGTCTACTTAAAAGAAGTTTCTACGATTTATTCGTGATTTTAATATATTATTACCTAACATCTCCACTCATTGAAGATATCTTGGCATGCCACTGCTCTTTGACTTCATGTTTTCAGTGGCGATCAAATAATTACGTAACAGGAGAGGAGGTAGGGATAAAGCGGAGTTTTGAACAATTAGTTAAATTTTAGATTTTGATCGGATAGTGGAGCGAGTCATAGATTTGTTTTACAATGATTTTTATTGTTTTTTTTTTATCTATGGATAACTTTGCTACAAGCAATTTTGCTCCAATTTAAAATAATTGCACTTTTTCCCAAAGAAAATATGACTGTGATTGTACTTTAAAGAGGTTATTTTTTTTTTTTGATTTTGAAACGAGATTTCCCAATAAATGGGAAAAAATATGGGAAAACTGGAAAAAAAAAACGTAGGAAAAATGGGAAAATAGATAAAATATCAAACAAATATTTTTAAAGGAAATGTTTAATGTATATACAATTATTTTATCATAATTTGACATATATACTGTTGACAGAGCAATGGTTAATCGTTGCACACAGATATGCATTACATTTCCCCTCTACCTTCCCAAATATTATCACCTACAATAGTGGCCCACTGCTACGTGCAAAGTGTGTTTATCTTTGTTTTTAACACATACAAATAAGTACCTAATACAATTATGTTAAGTATATCACTATAAATATTGAACTGGAAAAGGTCATGTTGGGGAGCATATTACCTCCCTTTAATTTTACCACTCCCTGTGGTTATCGTTCCCTGATTCCCTACACTCAGCCAAATCATTTTGTGCTGTTATCGTCCACGTCTCTAACCGGTACGTTTACGTTGGTTTAACTGTTAAAATCATTAATGATCCATAATGATTGTAGTCGTGACTCCATCGTTCGAGATTCTTAATATATCGAATACATTTTATAGTGCAACTATGCATTATTCAAATTATTATAACATACATTTTTTCCGTACGGGGATTGCGCTACGCTCCAGTCATTGTTTATTCGACAGGTCGTGTCGTACTACATTGCATAATTTATTTTAAATAAAGGAAAATTATACGAATGACTGTAATGCGTACAACGTATATTATAAATGTTAAAACAATATAGAGGTAAATATTTTTTTATTTTATTAATATCATAATATTATATCGAAGACGAAAGCAGCACCCACGGCAGGACCGGATGTCCGACTTGACTATCGAGTTGCTTTCCAAAAAAAAAAAAAAACAAAACTAACAATAATATTTTCTGTATATCATTATATTGGAAACATCGGTACTGTCGTCAACATTTATCTACACTTTTCACGTCCGTATTATTTCCACATCCTATCCCTCCACGCTGCGCGGTTCCCAATAATAATATTATCTCTCAGTAAATCTCGTTTATCGCAATATTTCGTTTCCATGCGCATAATATAATAATATTATATTCTGTTTATTATAATATTGTTGAACTTTTCGTCGAATATAATTTGTGGTATAATACTGTCTTATATTTTTCCGAACACGTGTTTATTGTCAATTCGTTCGTGTACATTAATTGCATGCACGTATGTATCCGTTTTATAGTGGCAGGGGGAAAAAACCATAGTAATTAATATTACTGCACACAGATATTCGTCGTAATATATTTTAAAAATAGTACACATTTTCAAAATATTTCCACTGCAATAAATTATTTTATTAAAATTGTTAAAAAAAAAATTATTCGAAAAAGTCTCTGTGTATTATCAAATTAACTGTAATAGTTAGTTATATTTTGTATGTAAATAAAAGAAACATGGCGTTTGAACTATTACAAAATATCTAGAAAGTATTATTATTATTTTCCAAATGTTGCTGCTGGTGTTCATGTTGTTGTGGTGGTAGTTGGCCAAGTTAGATTAATTTATCAAAAAAAAAAAAAATCAGAAATTGATAAACAAAAAACAAAAGTCCAATCGCTCATGGTTCCTCGTTCCCGTCCCAAACACAGAACATAATATTAGGTATTTCGTAGCTTCCTAATTGTTTTCTAGATCTTGTACCGGCTAATAACGTAGCGAAAATAGTTAAAGTGATATTACAATGGTATCATGGTATATTGAGGTTTTACCAAAATGTCCGAGGAAAGAATGTCCCGAAGTAAAAAAAATAATACCTATATAATTATAATTTATAAATATAAATAATAAATTAAATAGAATTTTAATACGTAGTAGTAATATTAATAGGTATAATAATCGTCTTAATTTTGGTGTTAAAAGTAATAAAAATGATTAAAAAATATATTATTCCACTCTATTATACAAAATTAATTAAATTTAAGGATATGCATTTCAAAAAGTTTTCATAGTTTTCAAGTTTTCATTTTTTTTTTCGTGGTTATTTTGCATTGGTCGACCCCCAACTCCAATCTCATTTTTTCAATTAACAGCTAGGTGGGAATGTGAAAATAATTTGGAAAACTTAAGATTCCAACCTTCAGTTTTGTTGTTAGTTATCTAGCTATGCCTACAGTGTACAAGTCGGCCATTTTTACCTACAATCTGGTATATTGTATCGAAATTTAAAAATTCGTGTTCGAGATGCCGTTCACCATACGCGTATTACGCTGGCCGTACGGTGTGAATGTATCCGGAGGATATACACATAGGTATAGTATGCGAGAGAAAAAAAAAAAACATTCCGTTCGGAATCTAAAAAATGCGATTGTATACGTCTCTCCGGCCATTGTATACAATCCGCGCATCCCCCTCCCCTCCCTTCACCGTTCGTAATTTATGTTGGTTTCGCTATCGAGGAGTCGGATGTCGTCTCGGTCCGACGTTATATTTGTTTTGTAGATTATAACAACGGCGACGATGGTTATACGCACACAACAACAGGAAAAAAAAAATAAAAAAAAAAAAAAGTTCAAATGACGCTACCCCCGCGTATACGTACGGAGAGAAATTGAAATTCCTAACCTAATCTCGTCGGACCCCAATCATCGTGTGTCATATTGGTGTAATATTGGTTCATGCACACGGCGGTGTCCTCTCCCCGTCGTCATCGATCATTTTACGTTCGGGACGCGTTTAAAACGCGCGGACGTCGGAAAACGCGGCGCACTGTGAAAATGTATAATCTCGTATTTTGCCGCGTGATGATCGCCGCACTGCGGGCTCCGTTTCACGTCGGCGTACGACGGACGTCTACGCCGGGGGCCGAACGAAAAGGAAATAAAGAAAACCATCCCTTGGTTACCAATAATGTGTATGCGCACATACGCTTAAAATAGACACAATGCTTTACCGGGTGGTTGTAGTAAAAATCGAAATTCAGTACCCGCAAAAGACCGGCAAGACCGACCGGACTTTTATAAATTTTAAATTTATTACGAGCCGGACCGGGGTTTTTTTTTCTACGATAACGAGCGACCCTTTTTTTTTTTTTTTAAATTTCATTTTTAATCAAATACCGCCGGTCTGACGACACTTCCTAATATCCAGCGTTAAATAAATATTGATCGCCTCGAGTCTTTCAATTACGTCACGTATATTATATCACGGTGTTGATTGGAAAACGGAAGATACGAGAGGAGGGGGGGATATGGGGGTGACGGAGCTCATTTCGGAAATGGATTAGGCGTATACCAGACATATTGTTTCACCGCTGCCTATAATTGTTTGCGGTGACGAAGCCGCCACAAAGGAGAAGGTCTGTAGGCCGTCTTCCGCACCACTATTTCCCGTGATCCTGTCTTTTTGGCCAAAGGGGCAGTATTTATGGTTACCAGCCCTTTAGTCTATCAGATCGGAGCAACAAGTGCAACTGGAAACACGATTACACGAGAACAGAGCGAACATAGCCGGCAAGTAGGAACCGGATCAGTAAAATCGGAAACAATTGACATATGGCAGAGAGAATGGGAAACGGCTGGCAAAGGGAGATGGGCTAATAATAATAAATATTCAACATTAAATCATAGATTGAAAGGGAACACGATGAATTATTATCTTACGTCTGACACAATTGCTATAACGGGTCATGGAGGTTTCCTATTTCTACCTGCATCCCTTCCAGGGCGGGCTGTTAGCCCGAAGTGTGTGGTCTGCGGTTATGATAATGACGACGCAGAACATTGCTTTGGTATTTGAACGCGGTCACTGGTGAAGGAAAACTCACCTGTACTTAATTAAATAATTAGTACATAGAAATTTCATAATTTTTTTCTTTATTTTAGTCTACGTACTCAGTTTCTAAATTAAGTATCTCGTTTCTCTTTTAAACAAATATTAAATAATAAATATGGCCCACGGATCGATTGGAGAACAACTGATAACTCCGTCATTGGTGAGCGCGTGAGTGAACAAATTTATGTATTCTTAAAAATGTCTACGTCTATAATTTTTTTCGATTTTTTTTTTTTTTTTTTGTTTAGCACTGGGTTGATATAAATAGATTTCTCGTTTACGCAGTTTTAACATATGAACAAACTGGTTTATACCGAATAATACATCCGTTTAAAATATAATAAAAATCGAAAATCCTTATTTGTCTTAAGCAGCGTTGTTGTTTTTAAAACTATTTGTTTAAACCACAGACGGAACCCCCCCCCCCGAAATCAAATTTACTCATAATTTTATTCTCGTTCATTTATCAGGAGAAAAAAATAATAATGTCGTATCCGGGGTTGGATCCAGGACACGATAACAGGAGTGAGGAGAAGAGGGACGATTTTAAAAACTCGTATATGGTTCACCGTTTATGATAAAAATCGAACCCGGAGTTTCGTCTGGGCTAAGAGTATAATTGGGTGTGAACGGGGAGGGGAGGGATGGTGACGGGTACTGTCGCACAACTCTCTGGATCCGGCACTGCGCGTATCGCGTCTTTGTGCAAATGCTGTTACACTTACCTTAAATACCTATAAATGTGGACGAACGCGATGGGTCATTATTAATGCGTGTCCGCGCGAGATTATTATATTTTCCGAAATACGAGAAGGCCCAAGGAAGAAAAAAAAAAAAGGCAAACGAAATCGATTTAATGAAAAAAAAAAAAAAAAAAAAAGTTGGTCCCCGTGCTCGCGCAGTAAATTTCATCGGTTTTCGAAAACGTTTTCTCCGCACACACACGCGCACGAAAATACAAAAATACAACCGCCGGTGGCGTGAAATTTAAAAAAAAAAAAAAAAACCTAGCTTTAAAGTACCGTACTGAGTTCAATTTACGAACGATCGATAAAAGGCCGTTGTATATACAACTTTTCGAGCACAGCAATAAAATACATATATATATAATATACGTATTATATTAATACCGAAAAATTGTACGACACGCGTATATACAATAACTGAAAAACACGTCGCGTATATGGTGGCAGGCGTAGGTACAATACACTAGTAGCAAAACTAATATTTATTGTCTCGCGAAGTGTATATACCTATGTATACATATATATATATACAGAGAGAGAGAGAGAGAGGGAGAAGTACCTGTACGTATTACCTATCTATAATACAGACGTATAATATAATATATATTGTACGTATTCGGCTCTCGGGACGTAAAGTTTTGATTGTTGTTCTAAATCGTAAAGATTCGCGGGAACGACGCGTCCGCATATACGCGCGTGCACACAGAATACGTGCACACTATATACGCGCACGCGAGTATTGTTATGATTATGATTATTATTATTATACAAGTGTGTGTGTGTGCGCGTGTGTGCGCGCGTGTACGGCGACGGCGGTATATTGTTTTTCACCACCGCCTCAGCCGCGACGGACGGACGGACGGACGGACGGACGGCGGTATAACACACGGGCGGCGGGCGTGTGGTACACGCGGACAGTATTCGCGCGCGTATTGCGGTATCGCGTGCGCGGAGAGACCGTCCGCGGTACTGCGATACGCGACCGCGGTTCCGAGCCGTCCGTACCGCACAGGGCGTACCGTCCGCAGTACCGCCTACGTAAAATGATATTGTTATCGTGTCGACTCTGCGGGGACTTTGTCGCGAATCCGCGGTCGCCGCCGCGTTCGCGACACAGTCGGGCCGCGGCCGTTACGACGCGTTACGGCGGGCGACACGGCCGTGTTGTCGTGTTGTACGGTACCGTTGCGGCAGTCGCGCGTACGACGTCGGCGGTCCGGTCCGCGAGCGGACCGGACCGCCGACGTCGGTTCGGTACCCGCATGGGTACCCGCTAAGTCGGCACCGGACCGCGACCGCGCGGCGCCGTTAAAACGCGTAAGTGCGGGGCGACCCGCCAAACCCGAACACCCTCATCCCCACGCGCCAGAGCCGTCCGCGGATCGCCAAGCCGATCCCCGTTACGCGACACTCGCATAACATTAGACGGGATAGCGCGACGGCCGGCGAGCGCACATGGTCGCGCCCCGTGGCCGAGCGGACGGCGGCCGCGGAGACCGGCGTCCGCGCGCTCCCGCGTGTCGCGCGAAACCCGCGGGCCGTCACCGGGCCGACGGGCATTGTTCTCGAGGTACTTTCGGGCCCGAATACCGCGAAGAGCCGGAGTCCGTGTCGGCGGCGATCCGAAAGAGAGAACTTTCGGCTCGTAGCCGGCGACCGCACTGCGGCAGCGCCACCGCCGCGGGCCGCGCCCCCCGACCGTCCGAGCGCGCGCGCGCGGGGGGTGGGGGGGCGGGACCAGCGCGCCCTGCCGCCGTGACGAGCGCGCGACACGCGGCGGCCACGGCCCGACACACACTACAACAGTACACGCTACCCCGACGGCCGGCCAACACTCGGCCGCCACAATTCCGCACGCGGTCGGCGGTGATACATCGCCACGGAGCCACTGCTGTGCCGCGAGAGTGCCGACCACGGTGTCCCCGCGTACCGATAACATTTTGTCCGCGCACACGACGTCTCGCGTGACCGGCGACCGCGATAATACCCGTCACGTGCCCGTTTGCACGGCGACAACGCCGAGCACGACCACGGTCGACCGCCCGCGGGGCGCCCGGCGCGAGCAAAGTACGCGTGCCTATACGTTGCCTATCTGATAACCGTACCGGCGTCGACGGCTGCGGCTGTGTTGGCAGCACACATTCTCGCTTCCATTCGGTAAATAACCACGACGAAGTCTCAACGACGATCATTTATAATTGAACGCGGGACATTATCAAGCCGTGGGCTGTCGTTGTGCGCTCTAAAACACAATAGATAATGTCTTGCAATATTATTATTTACCTAGTGATAAGAATCTAATAACCGTAATTATAAATTAATAATAATTTCGATAATTATTACAGTTGGTCCAGCGAAAAGCCCGAAATAATTAATATTAATTGTTGGAAACGCGCGCTCGCACACTGCAGCTCTTCTCAAAGGTACAACTGTACTGCACGCGCGCGGGATTTGACCGCCGGCAGTCACGGGATTTTGACAAGACTTGTCGTAAAGTTGTTCAGTCGCTGGGAGCTGGACCGATTAACCACGTGTGTCGAAAGGGAATGTAGTGATGGCTAGAGAGGTAAGGTTTATTTTTGTTTTGTTTTTTTTTTTTTTTTTTTTTTTTTTTTTTTGAATCCTATTTTCAGATACGCCAAAGTTATTTTAAGAAACGTTTTTAAAACGCCATTAGACAAAGATAAGAGATAATATTGCTAAGGTTACTTTCCAGATAAAGATACGTAATAAAACATCGACTTTTTATTTGAGATAAAAAAAAAATAAAAATAAAAATAGTTTTTTTCATTATCTTTATTATATATTATCATCGTAAAACTAAGTATTAAAATTATGGTAAAAGTGTTTCGTCAAAATTTTCTAAAAAGTTTATACGATTTATGCAACTTATAAACAATTAATTTTATTAAATCGTATCAATATAAATTGCATCCGATTATTTTCAATAAATATACGAATTCCGATTTTGAAAAATATTTACACATGTTGGGCGATTGAATTATTTGTCTCTGGATCAGATATATTGTTTGTTTTTTTTTTTTTGTTTATTTAGATGAGATAAAAATATAATTATCAAGATAACTTATCACTAGATACGACGAATTATTGGTATTAGTATTATTATTTAGTACGTTGTTTTTATTCGCCCGACGTTAATATCTATACACGCGAGGGTGCACTTATTATATTATTGCCGTATACATTAACCCGAAAACGGTACCTATATTCACGTAACCGTGTAGGTGTACCAAAATATACCATATGTAGGTACCGTTTATACCACGTAGGTATATAATAGTGACCGCAATTTTGAACGGTTAAGACCTTTTGAATGACACGTAACCGCCCGTCGTCGTCATCGTCGTCGTCGTCGTCGTCCCGGACGCGTTAATCCGTAGCAGATTTACTTCCGTTTGAACCGCGCGCGTCCTAATGATTTCTATACGTTTTTATTAGTCCGACGTGACAATCGATGTCTTCTCTCCACTCTTTTACGTCGACATAATAATATATAAATATTTTATACTATGGGCAATGCACGGTATATTTTCAAAACGTTGTAATGTGTAATACATATCATCCTATTGTTTACTATTCGATCGTCGACAAAATGACAAAAAAAAAAAAATCTTCTGGAATAAGGAAATTTTCAATTAAAACGATAACAAATAGAATTAAAAACTCTACAGTTTGATAATAATATTTATTATCTTTGAAACTTGTCCCGAAATTCAACGTTCCCGACTAAATTTCAATCGGATCCAGCGTTCAATTTTACCGAGTTTCGTTTTTTTTTTTTTACTTGTCGTAATATAAATTTATATTGAGGATAAGATACCCATTAGAGAGTCCACACAGACCGATAAAAGTAGAATCCGAAAATTTATCTGATCCGATAAAAATTCGAAATTGGTTCGATCCGGTTCAGCGCGATAAATGTTAACTTAGTTCAATCCAAAATGAAACGAAAATCCGGAATTCGGCCTGACCTTATCCCGACAAATGTATAAGTTGAACTGATCTAGTCCGATCCAAATTTGGATTAGGTCGAAATTCAGGTTAGAACGGGCTGGCCCGATCTGCGCAGGGCTTTAGTACCTATTGCATTGTATAATTACATGAATATAAAATCTTGCAATGATATTAGTGAAAAAAAATTGTGTTCGATTTCAATAATTGATGAATATAATGTAAATTTGCACAGGTTATCAATGT